CGACTTGAATCGGAGACAAACAGAGTTCCAAAATGGAACAAGTTCCTAGTAACATCTTTCTCTTGGCTAATCAAAATCCAATTTACTCGGGGATGAAGAAGAACGAGTTTGAAAGGAGGACGTGAACTATATCTTCGTTTATGAAACTCTACCAACAAATTTTAATTACAACGAAACCAGAGACATGATCTGCAGATCCCGGAACACTTTAAACCTAAAAATCGGCCAGTGGTGAACTCGTGCCACTCGACATTTGGACTCCTCGGATAATCAATACGGTTGGCATTCGGCATAACTCTTTTAATTCGCAGTGTACACAGAGTTGGGCAGCAATAGACCATTTTTTAATTACTTTACTAATTTATTAGCGTACCATCCCTGTTAGGTAAATACATCTACTTTAATAGGATCCATGCGTCATAGAAATCCACGTCATCCTAGCCCCCGCGTCGACGAATCCTGATTCCCCCTTAGAAACAACATATCCTAAACCTTATCCTGTCCCATTATCCTAAAACCCCAAAAGTCTAAAGGAGGGTCACTCTATCTCTCTATCTTTACCAGTTTGTTCCTAGGGGTTGTTTCAGGATTAAGTAGACAAATTCTGGGAGCGTACAGGGATACCCAAAATACTTTGAAAATACAGAGAGTCGCCAGATCGTATTTTTCTATACGCATTGCACGTATAATGTAATGAAACTGGTGTCTAAATTCGGTCATACTACCCCCATGTGTGCTTAATACCTGGTAATCCAATCCTAATCTCTTCTGATGTAGGCTATGAAACCGATGTGTCACGTTCAGAAGCATCTACTACAAAGGCGAACGTAACGCATAATAATAGCAAGTTCATTCTTTATTTGTACGCACGACATCGCATGCTCTCAGCCTGCAAATGTATTATAACACGTCGAATAATTTCCTTGGAAATCTGATTTATTACTTTCGTATTCCTTTTACTCGTTATCGAAGAAACTTGGACTCGTTCTATCGTCTCTGTTTAGTAATTCTGCTCTAGTAATCTCGATTGTAAGGATAATACGTGGTCTCTACATGAGATTTGCCACTACTGGTGGCAAACTTGAGTTAGCAGATAATGTCATAAAACTGTTTTACTCAGTTATACCCCTTTTTACCTGAAGTATAAGGTAAAAAGTACGGGTTACAAGGTACGATTACATGTACTTTGAATTTTCTTACAGGACTCCGCTGGCCTATGCTGACCACTCCTGATACCTCTAACAACGTACAACGATTACTACTGGCTACTGTCAGCCTCTCCCAGCCTCTGCTGGCCTCTGCTGACCACCGCTTATATTTCTGACAACGTATACTGATTCCTACTGACTTCTGCTGGCCTCTGCTGACCGCTGCTGACCACTCCAATGTTTCTGACAACGTACAACGATTACTACGTGTTACTGCTTGCCCCTGCTGGTCTTTGCATGCCTCTGCATCCCTCTGCTGGCCTCTGTTGGCCACTGCTGACCACTGCTGACCTTTGTTATCAATTTCTGACATGATGTATAAGTATTCAAGCCTTGTATAATGTAAATCTATGGCAATAAATGATATAATTTAACAGAATTCTATGTGTTCTCATCATTTTTACCTTTCTTTCCCTTTCCAAATCATTGCCTTAGTTTTAAGAGACCGTTTTTCCGGTTAAAATTGGATTCCCAAAGTGTCCAGCTCTCGTACTTGCTGCCAAAATCAAAAATTAACTTTTAAATTTTTTTTCTGTAACCGTCACTCTCGTACCTGTTGGCAAAATCGAGAATTCATTTTTTTCGTCAAAAAATTTTTGCTCGAAAATTTCGCCGATTTCCCAAAAAGTCCTGAAACAACTGGGAAGTCCTGAAACAGCTGGAAAGCCCTGAAACAGCTGAAAATCCCTGAAACAACTTGGAAAGCCCTGAAACAACTTGGGAAGACCTGGAGCAACTTGGAAAGTCCTGAAACAGCTGGAAAGACCTGAAACAGCTGGAAAGGCCTGAAACAGCTGAAAATCCCTGAAACAACTTGGAAAGCCCTGAAACAGCTGGAAAGACCTGAAACAGCTGGGAAGTCCTGGAATTTCTTGGAAACGCCAAAAATTCTTGGAAATCCTGAATTTTTAGCAAAGTTCTGAGTTTCAGGACTTCCTAGTGGGTTCAGGGAAACCAAGGAGTTTCAGGGAGTCTTATAACTAAGGTATTGATTTGGAGAGGAAAAGAAAGGTAAAAAATGATGAGAACACATAGAATTCTTTGTAATTATATCATTTATTGCCATAGATTTACATTATACAATGTTTTAATACATATATATCACGTCAGAAGTTGTTAACAAAGGCCAGCAGTGGTCAGCAGGGGTCAGCAGGGGCCAGCAGTGGCAAGGAGTGGTAAGCAGAGACCAGCAGGGGCAAGCAGAGGCATGTAGAGACTTGTAGAGGCATGTAGAGACCAGCAGGAGCAAGCAGTAACACATAGTAATCGTTATACGTTGTCGGAAGTATCAGGAGTGGTCAGCAGCGGTCAGCAGAGGCCAGCAGAGGCAGGCAGCAATCAGTCGTAATCGTTACACGTTGTCAGAAGTATAAGCGGTGGTCAGCAGAGGCTGACAGTAGCCAGTCGTAATCGTTATACGTTGTCAGAACTATCAGGAGTGGTCAGCAGCGGTCAGCAGGGGCCAGCAGAGTCCAGCAGAGGCATGCAGAGGCCAGCAGAGGTTGACAGTAGCCAGTCGTAATCGTTATACGTTGTCAGAAGTATCACGAGTGGTCAGCAGCGGTCAGCAGAGGCGAGCGGAGGCAGGCAGAAGTCAGTAGTAATCGTTGTACGTTGCCAGAAATATGAGCGGTGGTCAGCAGAGGTCCAGCAGAAGCCGGCGGAGGCTGAGAGAGGCTGGCAGTAGCCAATAGTAATCGTTATACGTTGTCGGAAGTGTCAGGTGTGGTCAGCAAGGGTAAGCAGAGGCAAACAGAGACTAAAAATGCCTGAGCAGTCGAGATTCCAAATCGTATGGCGTTGTCGTGAGATCGGAGGTCAGTTGTTCAAGAGTGAGAAGGCAACGAGACGGTCCGAAATTACTTCGAGCAGCTTTGGAGAATCGAAAAAGAGGGCATGTGTCACTTTGCCTTTATCGACTCTCCGAAACTCTAGGAACTCACGTGCGCGTGATCTGGCATAGTGTGAGAATGTGGAATGAGGTGTACCCGGTGCACCCGCGGCTCCGTCTGGCATCTCTGACTCGAAATCTTGTCGCGAATTTAGAATAGTTCACCGAGAAACAAGGGAAAATTGTATTTTACGAAAATGATCTACAAATGTGAATATTACGTTTTCTGGAACGCTTATTAAGTATTATATGCGAGTATTAGGTGTTTGCACGCGAGTATCTTGATCCGACGAGAACGATGGCGTTCAAAACCGCGCAAGGAACACACCCGTTGCACGTGGCGTGTAATTCAGCAGCTGTTCTTCGCGTGTCCATGACACCGTAAACACTGGCGAGATGCAAAAGATCAAAAACGAAGCACCATTTTACCGTTATCATAGTCGTTGCTAACCGCGAGTTGCTAGGTGTGATTGTTCTCTGCGTCTTTGAACCTATAAATCGAATTAATCCTACGCGGCAACGAGAAAAAAGTCATTTCAAATGTCTGTAATGTTTTTTAAAACATCTTTGACTATCAAGGAACACGAACAGATTTGTTGAAATAGAAGCACTTTATAATAAAAAGAATCGATACATTTTAAATAACACTTAAAACCTACTGCAATTATTACGACCATGAAACTACGAAACTAAATAATTCTTACAGGAAATTCAGAAGTTCCTCGTCATACAAATCAATGTATTAATTTTATTATTTTATTTTATTACCATATGAACTTTTATAAATCGATAAATTAGCCTATTCGAGCAATTTATTGTAGTATAACATTCTCGATTTCATTGTTTAAGTCATCTTTAGTACAATATTGTTTATTACAACCTAAAACAAAATATACGAAGAAAAGAAATTTTATTGGCAAGGAACACATGTAAATTTGACTTGCTGCATAAAGATTCATCAAAATACACGATAAATACTTCGCAGATGTTCCTTGTAATACATTTTCCATCCCGTTAAAACAAGAAAAGAATATAATATATATATATAACAAATCTACTAATGAATTGTCAGAAGATGATTATATTGATACAATATACATACATATATTGATAACCTTTGGAGAAAGATAAAAAATACGACGTATGTGTCTGTATAGACGTGTATCATGTCCTACAATTTGTTATAATCTTGCACAAACTGAATCAGTGTTAAGAACGTCCTGTGCATTCGCAACAAAAAGAAGATGTAACAAATATCTGCGAAGCTTCTTCATTATTCACGAATCTCTGACCACTTACAAACGTTCTATGCAACAAACATTCATCTTACCATTGTATAGATCTTTCTCCGTCGCTGCGTAAAAATATTATGATACAAAAAGTATTCTTATTATGCAGAAATATATCCTCTATATTATTTTATTACGAATGCCTGAAAATCTTTCGTTTATCGTAGTCGTAGCGCGAAACGATAACTGCGAGAGCGTAATTATCGTCTCGAACATCTGCCGTAAGAATGTTAACGGTAGCTGGAATGGTTCAGCATGCAAGTCCCGATACCTCATGGGTAATTCCACAGAGCAGCGTTTAAGGAATTACGGCGTCGCTCGATTCTCAAAAACATTTCTTACAAAGTACGTTCGACCGTTGCGTTTCTAAAAAATAAAACGTCAAAAAGAAATCGCGCAACGACACGCGGACTCGAAGACCGTGATAAAATACGCTGCCCAAAATAATTAGAGGATATGGCCGAACGAACAATCCTATCGTTCACCAAAATATCCAAACATTTTAAATACTCCGATATGCTACGTAAGATAGACAACAATCTGTACAATTATTACTGTATCGAAGCTACGTATCTCCACCGTGTTTTGCAAGTTAGGACGGGTTAGTGGACTCGTCAGCGAGGGTACTTATTGTTGGACCGAAAAAAGAATCGTCTTGGAAGACCTCCAAATCGTTGTCACTCTACTTTACTATAGGAAGAGAAAGAAACAATTCCTAAACAGGGAACTGAACTCGAATTCGTTCGTTTGCAAGACAACTCCCTAAGAATGAATTAACGAATTCTGTCTTCCCGTGGCCAATATTCGTCAAATGGCTATCGTCCAGATCATAATAATGTAAAAATCGTATGATAGAGTAAAAGGATCCCGTAGTCGATATTAATCATGCGAAGATCAGATACCTTTGTGTTTTAGGTTAGAGAAACCTAAAGGCTCGCCCCTTTACCATTTTCTCAAAACCGCGTCGATGCTCTTATCTCTAAATAGGACTACTTTATATATGTAAAGGTTTAAACAGGAACTTGCGACAACAAGACTTAATCTACGACTCTGTTGACGGATGCAGCACGTCCCACCGCAGGTTAATTCTCATAAATTGATCAGGTCCGATCCCCTAATTGTTTCGAGCAGCGTGAGAAGAAAGCATGTGGATGTGATCGTAATTCGAAAGGTCACAAACAGCACTCCTACTCCGACCACAAAATAATGTCAAATGATGCATGAAAAATCGAAGATCTACACATATTAGTCCTCCCTTTATTTGTTCACTATATGCAAAACGCTACAGCTTATACATTGCATATACAAGTATGCGTTTAATAATAAAATCCACGACAAAAGTGTTCTAATCCCAGTGTCCAGTAACAGCGCTCGAGTTAATTGAAGTGCAACCTCAGCGTCGATGATGTCGATCCATCGGTTGTCACAATGTCACTGCCATACTAATTCCTCGCTTTCTCTATACAAAGTCACGCGGATTTTCCGTTTACAACCATTACGATTCACCGCTGCTTAACAAGAAGAAGGAAAAGAAGAAGAATGACCGTGTGGCTATCGTTCGTAGTAGTGATCTCGCAAGATTATCGTTCATTCGACATAGTGCAGCAAATGAGATACGTTCTGAACGGGTAACCAAGATTTTCTCTAACATCGTAATCAGCAATTAAAATCCATATTTACGAAAATGTCGATCAAAAGTGATCAGAGGCCAGAAGTAGAAATCTAGGTAGCCCGTTCTAATAAACTATATCTTTCGAGTCATCGACGTCCGTCGGAAAAGCACTGATATAATCATCGGGTGAGCGACGAACAAAGTTAAGTGTCCTTAAAAACCGTAATAACTCTCGTAAAAACATCGAACGAAGAAATATATACTATCTCTTTCTCTCTTTCTTTCTTTCTCTCTCTCTATCTCTCTCTCTATCCCTCATTCCCGTCGATTCCTCTACAATAATTATGGATTATGTACAGATTTTTCGTTGATCGGGCCACTGTCGTCTGTGCCAACTATGACACAGCTTGGCTGCCACGGCAGGTAGAGAAGTAGGACTGGCAGAAGTATTAAAACGTACCACTGAAATCAAACAACGTTAGGGAACATGATGGCGTCTCGGTCCCGTGCTAGAGTCGTCCATCGTCGCACAGGTGAACGCGACCTCATGACCCGGTGGTAGAAAAGAGTACAACGTCCGTCTGATTCGGAAGGTCTCGCTGATTCCAGGACCGGTATTCCGGATTCGGCTCGACGCGAGTACCTAGTATGCTCGTTCAGCTTCAAAATGATCCTTCGACTATTCCTGTGCATGGAAAGTCGAGCTGGCCTACGCTTGATCGGTACCGTCGTGAAACTTGAAGTAGTGGATCTTCATGGCCCTGTTATTGGGATATTTGATCTTGCAATAAGGACAGGTCGCGTCTATGGCGCCCTTCACGGTGTAGCTGGTCAGGTCCGTCTCTTTGTGAAAGTTCTTGTTCTGATCAGCGTCGTAGACGGTGTTGTGCACCGTCAGCATATGATTCGTCATCGCCGTTCTGGTGAACACATGTTTGCCGCATAGGTTGCAGCTGAAGATCATGCTGGTGTGGGAGAGCTCGTGGTTCTTCAAGCTCAGGAGCGTGGGGAACATCAGCTTGCAACCGTCGACCGGGCAAGCGTGCTGCGGCGGAGTGTTCTTGTGCTTGACGGTGAAATGCTGTCGTAAATTCGACAGACCCGGGAACTCCTTGTAGCAGACGTTGCAGCAGACCTTGCCGTTGGTCCCGGCCAACGGTACGCACTCCGTTGTCGTCATTATATTCGCTTTGACGATGTTCTTGACGACGCGCGACTTGTTGTGCATCAGCTGCTTGTGCTTGTACAGGACGCTCATGTTCGGGAAGAACTTTCTACAGACGTGGCACATCACCGACTTCTTGCCAGTGTTCACAGCCTCCATGGCGGTCAACGGTTTTTGCAGGGCCTCGTCCTCCAGTTTCACCTTCTTCGGTTTCGACTCCTCCTGCGACAATCTTCGCGTGTTGTTGTACAGCGACGAGTTCAACATGTCGCCGTGCAAGTTGAACTTGTGACGCTGCAGGGATTGATTGCTGCTGAATACTTTGTGGCAGACGTTGCACAAGTGTTGCTGGCTGATCGATGGCGATTTCTTGCCCATCGCATGCAACTTGACGGCGGCGATGCTGGTCGCTTTGTGGAGCTTTTTGTGTCTCCACAGTACCTTCTTGGAGCTGTACAACTTTCCGCAGATCTCGCAGGGGAAAGTCGGTTTCCTGATGTCGCTGAGAATCGGATAGGCTTCGTGCCACTGCATGTGCATGTTCAGCGTCTCCCTGTCCGGGTAAACGTTCGTGCAGAGCTCGCATTGAAGCTCGTCTCCCGTGAAGGACTTCTCGGCCTTGGTGCGGGCGCAGTGCACGTCCCACAAGTGTTTCCTCAATTCGGTCACGTCGTTGAATTTATCGTTGCATACCTGACATTGGAAGTTGCCCTGGGGTTTCGCGGGCGGCGGATTTGGGAAAGATTTCCGTGCTCTGGCCGGTCTGTCGGGGGTGGAATTTACGTCCTGCTCCTGTTTGGTCAAGAACGTCTGTTTCATTGATTTCTTGTCGTCGTTCGGCGTGAATCGTAAACTTAAGCGAGAGTTTGCTCGACTGTGCCATGATCTGTGTATCTTGAGAGAGGCTTCTTCCACGAAACTCTTTCCGCAGAGGTCGCATTTGTGGCCACCTTTCGTTTGAGTCCTCTCGCCGTGGGCGTTCTGGAAATGAAGGTTCAAATTCCCTTTGAACACAAAACTCTTTGGGCACTGGGGACACATGTTCTTTGCCGACTTGTGCTCGGTTAATATGTGCCGTTCGAGGATCTCCTTGCTGTTGAACATTCGCGAGCAATCGGGACAACCGATGTGAGACTTGCCCGATTTGTGAATGTTCCGTATGTGTCTCTTGAGGTTCGCGTAGTTCGAGAACATCTTGCCGCACAGGTTGCATTCGTTCTTGTTCGAGCCAGGATCCGAGGTTGCGCTGGCGTTCATCGACTTGGAGTCCCGCGAGTCCTCCTCCATTGTTCCGTACTCCACGCAGGAGCTGTTCGCGGTCTGCTCGTTGGGATCCTCTATACCGTGATCCTTCATGTGGCTCTCCAGAGCACCCGCGCTGCTGAACATGCTGCGACAGATCACGCACGAGTAAATCTTCACCTTCAGATGGAGGTTCCTGTGCTCCGTCAACTCGGCCCTGGTGGCGAACTCCAAGTTGCACAAAGCACAGCTGTACTGGTTGCTGTCGGATATCTTGGCCGCGTTTATTTCCGCCTCGAACGTGTCCCAATCCTTGATCGGCGTCGTGATGCTTTGCATGGGTTTCGCGGACTCCTTCTCGAGCATTTGCTTCTGGTTCCGTTCCTCGCGATGGGACTCGTGATGCTCCAAGAAATCGGTAGAAGATCTGAACTTGGCACAGCACTCGGAGCAAATGAAATCTTTCTTTTTATGGTCCAGAGTGATGTGATTATGAAACTTTTTGAACACGAGATACGTCATACCGCAATGCACGCATTTGTAGGACGTCCTAACGTCTGGCGACAGACGTTGACACAGATCTTTGTGTTTCAGCATGTTAGGCCTGTATCGATATATCATTCCGCACAAATCGCAAACGTGATTATGCGCAGGATCACCGTTTTTATAGGGTCGAGGAATAATCGGACCCGTTTCGAGCGATTTCTTCAAAACTTCTTGCTTCAGACGCGGCAGAGGTGCCATTGGTTTTAACTTAGGGGGAGAACGCGATGGCGAGATCAGTTCTTCGTATTGTCTGTCAGAGTGCTTCGACAGGTGATTCAGTAATTCTTTTCTGTTCTGCAGAGATCGCAAACACATGTTGCATGTAAAGTACTTCTCCTCGCCATGGTTAGGCACGACCAATGCAATTTTCATTGCACATTCGAACGACGCACCACAATGTAACTTGTACATTGATCGGTCAGGGAATTCTGTCAAACACGCGATGCATGTGTACGGCCTCAAATCAGGCATGTGTTGACGAATGTGAGAAAGCGTATTTCTCCGATCGGTGAAGGTTTCTTGGCAGGAATAGCACGAGAACGTTTTCAATTGACTGATAATACTTTGCTGTACTTGCGTTAAGGGGGCATCCTTCTCCATGCTCATTAATTCATCCTCCAAATCTTCTATCAGCTCTTCCTCGTCGTCTAACGTTGTATCGTTGTTGCCGTTCGGCTTGTCTGTATGAAATCTTTCCATGTGCTTCGTGTAAGAGTATTTCGAGTGTAAATTAATTTGACAGTGCACGCACTTTTGCTTGAAAACACGTGTTCCTCGAAAGTGAGTGTGCGGGCCCCGTCTCATCTTTTTCTTACTTGCCGATGTCGAGGCGCTAGACTTTTGCGTAGAATCGGCTTCCATCACCCTGTCTTCCTTGTTGGAAAGAGGATTTGGCAACAGTTCGCTACCAGTAACGGATTCTATTTCTATGGTACAATCTGTGTCATAGTCTACTTGCAACTCAGATTTTGCTAACGGGTCTACATCTTTTGTTGGTGCTGGTTGAACTTTTGGTAAATTTGTTTCTTCGTCGTTTACTCCTTCAACATGAACACTGTTTGATAAATTATTTATACTTTCTTCGAGAGTAGCTGATTCCTGGAAAAAGAAATACAATTTACTTGCGACGTGTCCTAATTTCTTAGATTTTGTTCTCCAAATTATAGTACCTACCAAATCAGAATCAGTGGCGGATTCTGAAATAACTTCAACGTTATCTTCGTAAAAATCAAGATCCACAGGTTCATCCTTGATAGTTATAACCTACATAGGTAAAAGCATGTGTTATAATTTCTTACAATAACCATCTGTATAAATTACTAGAAGATATACACTTACCATAGGAATCGACTGCAAATGCTTTTCCAACCATTGATGCAATTTATCTTGTGTACGAAGACAAGCTTCTTTATAATTATGCCACTGATTCACATTTTTAACACACCTTTCACATATGTCTGTTGATAATCTATCGGTGGCTAAAATCTAAAAGATAGATAGAAGCTTGAAATCTTCATAGTCTCAACTTAAGAAACTAAGCTATCGTTATAATAAGGTACTGAAAATACATTCTCTAAAAATCTTATTCCAATCAGTATCTACAGAACCATCAATAGCCAACAATGGCAAATAGAAATAAAACGCTCGTAACCGTTCTAGTCAGTTTTAGTTTTCCTGGCATAGTCCAGTGTAGACCTAACCTCAAAGCACACGCATTGGACATATATACGAGGCACGATACGTTCAATGGTACGGCAATAGGAACGTATATTCGACGCTAAAGAGCTACGAAGAAGCGATATTTTACACGTACCTGAATCGACAGGCAGGCTTGTATCTTAGTGGCCAACGGTACCGGAGAGTCTTGTACCCCGAAAACCGACGACTTCGGTTCGTCGGTGGAGAGGCAGAGCCTGCACACGTTTTCCATGTTCTGCAACTCCACCACCTCGTCCATTGCGGACGTTTACTGCCGTCGCTCTTCCTCGTAAGATAGCACGGTATTTTGTCTACCAACGAAACGCGTTTTCCAAGACCAGGTTAGGGACGCAGCGTTTTGTTTGTACGTCGACATTTGAAACTGAAACCGAGCGGTCCGTTTCGATGCGTTCCGCGTGTTCAGGAAACAAGTTACAAAAAGCGCGTGACGAACAAACAATGTTGCCCGGTTCAGTCTCGAGATATTTATTTATCAACTACTTTTTATCGTGATCCATACGTAATGAGTGCAAAAAATGTCTTGTCTATGGCAATGGATAACTGGCGTTAATACTGCAAGCAGAATGCACGAAGGATTGCTTACTTTGATAAGTTGTACTCGAGATAATGATACTGATCAAAGTAGGGTTGGAACAGCCAAGCAGTAGTGATAAATGAGGAAAGAATAGTTTCCGTTGGTCGAGTGATCTTTTATTTTATATATACTTCTCAATATACATTTGACATGTAATTGTTTGTCGTTTGTCGAGAAGACAGATTGTACATACAGAGCAGGTAAACGTACACGGCACATCTTGTTCAATTTTTATTCTTAGTTCGATTAACTTACAAGATAACTGTTGCATAATGGAACTAAACGATCGGCATCCCTTAATTTTGAAACATTCATAGCAAATTATCATTCAGGCGTTATAAAAATAATTCAATGTATAAAATCGAAAAGGTTAGAATGTAAATCGGGTTGGTCGAACATTATAGCGCTGTTAGGACCGCTACATAGAGAACGATATAAATAGTCACGTGACCGATGCAGCTAATCGCGACAGGTTACAGAATCAAACTTTTATAAGTTTTCGCCAAAGATTTAAACGAGCTTGTTGAAATTTAATAAACGATTGCCCTAATTTGTCACAAATTTGCAATCTAAATGATTATTACGACTAAGACGTATACATATGATTCTACATATACATATTCATTCAATTTTGTCCATGGAATGTGACGTAAACATTTCAATAAATCGTATCTAAGCTACGAGAAAGACCTTCTCAACATAAAATTATTGAGCGTTCCTTTCAAACGTGTCATAAATATGGCAGCTATGAAATATTCTCGGTAAGCTCTTCTACGCGGGGGTTTTTCTAAAACCACCGATCTACTTGGTACACGGTGAGCTTTCGCACGGCATCTCGTTAAATTCACGGTGTCGAATCGAATACATTTTTTTTTTTTCGTTAAACACCGTAGGGATCGTATACAGTGCGAGTTAGAACCATCGAGACGTTTCCTACATCTATCTTGGGAGTCTCTGTCCCGCGAAACTATTCACATTAATGTACAGTACAGAATTAACCATCGATATATATATATATATTTATATATTTCTATACAGATATCATCAACAAGAATTTTGTGCTAGTCGCTTTCAAAAATATCGACATCCGTTCCGCGATTCTTTGTCATCTTGTGCTTTATCGATCGGCAACAGCGCGTTTCCGGTGGAACAAACAACGTTATATACACCCTGTTGAAAAGAACATGGCCGCACTGCTCGAAACAAAGGTACGCATAAAACTATTCTATTTTATTTAAAAAAAAAAATGTATTAAAATCAAATCAAGTGGTTGACATTCTTTCTCTAGAATTAATGTATTTTCCAAATATTGTGGTTGTGCAGCCAAACTTCTTTCGATCGAGCGTACATCGAATACTGTTACGTGATCGAAAGTTTTAAGTTAATCTCTATTTCGTTAATGCGTTTCGTCGTAATCTACATTCTTGTCTAACGATTACGTCAGTCGACTACAATGTTGTAAATTGTGCAAATTTATCTCTCTATCGACGCTTCCGCAACAAGGTACTCTTTTGACGACTTCTGCGCTTGATCCCGATTACGAACACTCGAACAGCTACGATCATTTCGCGCCATTCTCGCAGCCAACGAGTTCCGGTTCGTGTTTCACCGTTCGTTCTATCTATTGTACGGAAACGTGTGCGCAGGACTGTTGCGCAATTCAGGTCGTCAAGCAATTGGAATTGAAACAGGAACTCCGCTGCGATTGTTGTCGAACATAGTCTTGGACGTTGAATTTTGTGTCGTCCGGGTCGTTGCTCTTCCTGGCCATCAACTCCCTGAAAGTATAAGAAACATTTACCGTCCAGTTCCTCCCAGCAAAGAATGCAACGTATGAACATCATGGCTGACTCTATGTAGACCCCTAACGTCATCCGCTTGTCTAACAAGAGGACGTACTGTATGCATCAAAACTAACCTCAAAATATGTTTTAAAACAATTTATGAAACACCCTGTATTTGCTAGTTTGGCACAACTTGTCATTAATATGGTCCTAGATAGAAATTATTATTAATGTCTTTGGTTATAACTATCTCTGTAGAGTGTGTGTATATCAGAAGAAATTCATTACGTAAACTACAACTATAAGAATTTACGATGCAACGTTTAATAGGCGTAGTGCGTCGAGTCGGTCATGATTTAAATATGAATATAGCACTTAGCGCTATAGTTTCGTCAGGTTAACGTCTCGCGTGTTTTTCCCACACGCTGATAGCAATTAAGTCAACGTTTTTCAAATACCTAGCAACGGCCAAGAAGGCCAATTCGACGTTCAGGCCGGTTTTAGCAGAGGTTTCCATAAAGGGGACTTTGTACTCTTGCGCCAACCGCTCGCCTTCTTCTTTCTTCACGATTCTTTCCGGTCCGCAGTCCGACTTGTTACCTGAAATTAGCTTGTTTCAGTTTGTTACGTTCCTGTTAAATAAGCACTTAACGATCTAGAGAGAATCTCTAACGCGAATCGATCGAATAGGATATAAAATATTGAGTCGGTGGGACAACAACGATGTTTGTATAATTATATGACGTCAATTGTATAATTGCCATTACGTATTTATGGCGTTACCTAGTAAAACTAGTTTCGTGTATATAAAAGTTAGGAAATTGATCTAGAATCCATGATGAACGAACACAAGTGGATCACTGTAGTCTTAATTCTATCACTTCCGAAATTCACATTACTTCCTCGACGACTCGATCGAAACTGAGGAGGTAATTCCTGTTAGCGACATGTTCCTCGATTCACCATCTTATTTCTCACGATCTTCCTGACACCGCAACAACCAACATGGCCGCGTTAATCAATCATCCCACCTACTCAACTAGCGTTTCTTTATTCGCCAGCCAACCGAGCGGTACTTCACTCTTCCTAGACCGTTCTCTTTGACTTTCTACGAAAGCAAGAAACTGATCGAAACCGCAACAAACCAGTTGCTGCTCATCGACGTATCGATCATTGACAACTTTCTCGGAAACCGAGCGATAAAGAAAGCTAGCCGACTTGTCTTCTTTCCGTTCAGTTCTTTTTCACGAATTAAAAACCGAAAGAGACATTTTTCGCTCGTAAACGATCCCTAAACTCACCCAGCAACATGATGACCACGTCCTCGTTGGCGTGCTCTCGGATTTCGCTCAGCCATGCCCTGATGTTGTCGTAACTCGTCTTGTTCGTCACGTCGTACAGCAATAAAAGAGCTAAAACCAATAATGATCGTTTTGCGTTACGCAACCGGCCGTGATCCTGGTAATTGGCAGACCCGGAAACAAAAGCTTTCACGTGACGTTGTTCGCGTTATTGCGCGTCCAGTCATTCTCGTGCTCTTTTTGCGCTGGCCAGGAAAATTGCCCGCGCGCTCGTTTCGTCATGCAATTCTTTGACCAACAACGAGCGAAACAATGTTTCTTGTACGCAAATTGACTGGAATTGTTCAGAAATAGATTTCTACAACATCGAGGAGGGGGGCAGAAAACCTTAAAGTTGGATGTAGGCATCCATGACTTAGACAAGCTAGTAATACTGACGTTCATTCTCATCTTTCATCGTTGAAAACTTCCGCTGTGATTCTCGTCAATGGGTAGCTCAGGAATCGATCAATTATAATACTTTTTTTCCATTCGAAAGCATGTCTCCTCAGAATGTTTCACGGGATAAAGCCTAAAGCACTAGCGTTCGTGTTATAGAAATGGAGACACTATTGTCGAAGTGTCTCCGACACGTAGTTGTTACCAAGCCTTTGAAACGTCTAACTATTGTCGCGGCGACGTCCCGGTTCAAAGAGGTTTTCTTCGCGCAAACAATGGAGGTGCCCCCTACGGCGGATGCCGCGTTTCCTTCCCCGCCTCTTTAGCCTCGAATTCAGTTAAGTAGCTCTCCAAAATTAACGCTGTCGTTGAATTTAGAATCATTTCGCGACCTGCTTCGGTGGCGCCAGGCTACCCGTCAGCGAAACACGCGGGAAAAGCATCGCGAAAACATCGATCGAAATCGATCTCCCTCGATCGTTCGAAAATATTCCCATAAATTATTCTACAATTCGAACTCCGTCGATCCCTTATGTTTGAAAAAAGAGTTGCATTTCCAACGCGCGGCTTACCGAGGAAGAAATCATTTCTGCATGCTCAGAATCTAGAGCATGATATTGCATTGGGTACTGTGATTTACATAATGCTAGCCTGTGCAAAGTTCTCGATTTTTTGCCCCTGTGTATACCGATTAGGTGAAAAAGTTGATAAGCATTTCGACGAACGGGCAAACAGACATTTTCATAACGATTTCGTTTCACAAAAAGCCACGATTACATTACCAAATATGGCGGTCGTTCCTCTTGAGCGGCTCGAGCGCGAAGCTACTATAAAAATATAATTACCATGAGCGTCTCTGTAATACGCGTGCGTAACACTTCGAAATCTTTCCTGGCCAGCCGTGTCCCATATTTGAAGCTTCACAGACGTGTCGTCTACGACGACCACCTTATTCTGAAAAAGAGAAGAAAACCGCTCATGCTTTCCATTCGGACCGGTTCCCTCGCGCGTAAACGGCTTCGAAAATTCCGCATAGTTATCGCTACGTGTTCTCCGTCAATGTGAGCAATGCATTTCGTTACCAGGGAATTTTTACACTCGACTCTGAGAAACGTACGCGACAGGGATAGCCCCCGAGAGGGATTAGAGTTTCTCACCCTAAAATCAATGCCGACGGTGGTTATGTAGTTGCCAGACAGGAATCGGCCGTCCCTGAATCGCGTTAGAAGGCAGGTTTTCCCCACACCGCTGTCGCCCAATAGCATCACCTGTGTTACGTGAAAATTCTTTGTATAGATAGTCGCAGACCCACGGGGATAGATTCACTCGTACGAAACTAAACGCTTTCAGGGGTTCCTGTCCGTAATTCTAATTTCTCGGTGGCGTTTCGATTCTTCGAGAATCGGGATTCTCCCTTGAGAAATTAATTTGAAACGATTCACTCGCGCTTCATTATATTTATTGATCCAAGTACCAACGAAACTGTTAGCAATTATTCTTCATTTTATGTCTGCGTAAAGACACGAAGCGTGAGCTACATTTCCTGTTTCCTATACGCGTATTTCTTGTTTCCCTATTTGATAAACTCCATTTCTACGTAATTCAAATTGTACACAGCGTCAAACGATGGTAATGAACGTGTTGGGTATCTTGCACATTTTTAACAATTTCTTCCAGCAAATACAAAGGCAAAACGTACAAAAGCATACAAAAGAACAGTTTAGAACTGTACGCGAGCTCAAGTTTCAAAATCGATTTTTTCGCTAAACGAGGCCACTCACGTAAAATTGTACGTTTTTGTTTCATTTCTGCATATATAATCACCTCCTATTCGGTTGTTTCCCACCGCGAATTGTTTTAATTAAAAAATGCATGCTTTTAGCTCCGGTAATAGACGAACGTGCAGCGTAATAAACGTTCTGCTTTATTAAGTGAAAACTAGTTCGGTTTATATTTACGCGTAACATACACAACCTGTCCGTGTCCAAACGTATTGACATAGTCACTACGGTCTCGCAAGAATTGAATAAATGAAACGTGCAATTAAGGATTTAGTAACAACTCTTAACCGATCGAGCTTGATATACGAGTTAAATGGAAACGTACTTGTATATACATTCTCATTTAATGATAGTTGCCACGTTCGAGGAACCGCCTACTCGTGATTAACAACTGCGAACGATCGTTTTCGAAGCGTCAGGATCGGTTATCGACTAAAGAAACAGAGAATAAATTAATTTTTATTTTACTTTGATATTTAGAAACTGGTGGAATCGCGTCTTGAAAGTTAAAAGCGGTAGAAGTGCACTTGTTCTGGAGAGAATACTTTTTCTGTAACTTAGATCTTGAACATAGTTCCTTATTGGAGAAGTTGGCCTTTTGCTCGCAAAAGTTCTAGTAATTGAATTCGCTGTACTGTTTGTTCGATCTTTGAATCTATTTGACTTTTCGTTGCTGGAAACGGAACGATGTAACCTCGCGAAGGATGGATATACTTTTATATAAAAAATTTCATACAGTATAGTTGATCTTTGGTTCTGAAGTCCGAGTAACCGATGATTAACGTCTCAAGGGAGCTAAATCGAAGCAGAGAATTTTTGACCGTAGAATAGATACGACTTCCACTTTGTTATATAGTTCTTGTCATGTACGTATCGTAGATACGTAATCGATTTGATCTTTGACTTCTTTCTTACCGTCTTTCCTTTCACTTCTTCGAAAAAGGAGACGAAGCAATGGAGTTATGATAGCTAAACGATGTAGCAGTGAGCTGATCAATATTTTGCATTTGAAATACACTGCGCAAAATAATTGTTGCATTTCTTGAAATTTTTACCTTATGCAAGCGTGTTTCGAAGAAATTTTATTCAAATCCCGTTTCACTTCCTCTCTAATTCCTACATTCCTGATTGACATACACATATTTGTCGTTGATAATATCTGTAACTCAAATCGTCGGTGTCATCTATTTCTTCAAAGTTATTAATGATCCCTCCATTTAGAACTCACCAATTAAAAAGCAACTATTCAAACGCGGAGCCTGTAATAGGAATGCGTATTACAGCTAATAATTTACGCGATAACGTGGACTTGTTCTCGAGCTCGTTAAACTCGTTTAAGTGTTCTGTTCTCTCCGGCTATCTTAAATAATTGACTCGATTAATTTATTCGTACGTGCACTCCTTTAACGTACACTCCTCTTTTTACTTTATTAATATCGTTCTTAATGTCAAACCGTACAACTGAATTAGTACAAGTTATTCAGCTACACTTCATCGATCTTACAGTCGCATAGAAAGCAACGAATGCAACGTTTTAATTCAGAGTTTCACTACGGACAAATACAGAAAGTACGTAGCAATTACTTCGAGAAGCTTGCGAAACAACAAAGTTTAATCGTTAAGAACGAAACTTAAACTCTCGACTAATCGATCTAAGTACCACCCTATTGATTAATCGCCCTCGCTAAGTAAACCACCCGCGGCGCGCTTGCACGATAGAGAGTTCTGGGTACAATTAATCTTTATTTATCTGCATCATTGACGAACCTGGAAAATGAAGAAACATTTATTATCTAGCACGATGTCGACCCGAGTGCAACATAATGGGCGAGTTGTGTGCTTAATTCCGATGGAAGTGTGTGGCTTCCGTCGATGCAAACGACGCACCGATTATTTTGGGCAGTGTATTCAGCCGCGTCGGTTGCTCTGAAAGCATGTGTATCAGGAGAGAGGGCAGGACCTTGAAAAGGAGCTCGCCGTGGTCGGGTGATGCCTGTTGGCCCGTCGAGTCCACGCTGTCCCGCGAGGACTGCCGCCTGGTAGGGCCCATCGACTCCTGGGACCTGTTGAAAGCTGAGGTGCTGGCCTGTGGAGTGGAGGGGGCCGGCTGGGCTGGGCCCCTAGCCCCACCAGACGATCCCGATCCGCTCGACCAATCGGAGCCGGCTGACCCGGTTTTACGCGAGCCGTGTCTGCTACGCTTCGTCACGCTACGCAGCTTCTCCTCCGCGTTGCTCATGTGCCCCTGCTACCGGGAGCACCAATTTGCTCTTCTTCTTCTCGACCACTCCTCGTCGCGCACGTCGTTGTCGTCGTCGTCGTCGTCGTCTCGCTCCTTTCTGCTTCTCTTGCGCCCGGTGAACGACGATCGGTCGCCTCCTGTCTCGCTCGAGGTCAATCAACTTTGGACCAAAGGAAGAGAGGGACGGAGCAGTCTTTCACTTCGCGTCTCTTCTGCCTTCTCCTTCGCCCGCTTCTTCGCCCGAGTCTCTTGGCCGATCAACGAGCACGGAGTGAAAGTCTACGCTCTCGGGTACTATGCACGCCGCGCGAGGACTCCTCGATCGTCGTCTTCGCCTCGATGCTTCGCTCCTTATCTCGGGTACGTGCCAACTCTTCGAAACTCTATCGCACGGAGGCTCGGGAAACACCTACGGGACGGGAACCTGTTGATTAGAACCCTTGGTACCGACGTCTAGCTACGCGGGATCGTCTCCGAGGGAAGCTAGATACGCCCTGGCCGAGCAAAATTCTTATGACTGCACTCGAGAACACGTGGAGTATGGTACCTGACAATCAGTTGAGAAGAAGAGATCATAGTTGTGAAAGAACACCTGAAGGGTTGGAACCTTAGAACCGACTTCTGATTTGAAGAATAATTCGCGAAGAAGCATGTAGAAAGGACTGTTTCGAGTATAATAAATGATACGTGAGATATACCAAGCGAAAGACTTTTCAAATGTTTTATTTCCCTATCCTTGTTCCTGGTGATCCACTAAAATTCTGAGACATGATAGTCGTGTTAATATGTCATCGGTAACAACCAAACATAGCGAAAGGTTGATCGACAAAGCGCGATACGAGGAACAAATACGATTACAGGTAGCATTTCGTGCAGAGATGGACACGATCAGCGACTTCAAAGCTTCGTAATTGTTTCGCTTGTTGCGTAGCGGATTGCGTAACGGGGTAACACCTATGTTGATTCGGCGTATACACGGTAGCGCCTGGTTGCATAAACATTAAGCATGTTTTAATTAATCCGCGAAATATGCTCGTTCCCATTGATTCCCGCGCGATACAACCGCGATACACGGTTTAGCGCACGTCGTAACTGTTTGCATCGGTAAATTCCGTGTCGTGCACGTGCACCGCCATTGTTTCTGAAATACCGTTTTATCCTACGTCAATAGTCAATAATTAGTAACGTCTATAATTGACGGCAATGTTGACGCTGACGAGCATTGTGAACGATCGATTGTGCGTCTGAATGGATTTCGATGGAAATTTAGCTTCGACGTCCTGCGTGTAAACGCGCGCCACAACTACAAATTTTAGCGGAATAAGGTAAATTACTGCGCAATGCGCTTCTGGAATTTGCGTAGCCGTTTCGTAAAATTTCTAACCGAGATTTCTGAGAAAACCACTCGATGCTTTTCCAACCGAGCAATTATTAACTCGTCATGATGCAATTGTCGCGTCAAGGTATGCATGGTAATGAGTCGTCTTGCACAGCGTTCGAGAACGTTATTTACCATCGAAAAGAACGAGGAATTCGTTTCGAAAACTTTCTTGTGCGAAGTTTCGTCGATTTATATCGCACGGAATCGGAAGATACGTGTTATTAGGGTCTAAAGCGAACTAACGATCGCGAAGACTCTCCCGTGGTCGTTTATCTGGCCGTTCTTTTCGCTTTTGAGGCCAATTCCCTGCCGCGAGGCCGCGGATAAAATCTCTTGCGAAAATCCGCGGGAGAGCAGCGCTCGCGCGTAGCATTTTGCAGCGCGTAACAGAGCCAGCCTCGAGGAATCGAGTTTCCGACTCGATGACCGCGTCGTCGGCGCGGATAAAACCAGAGTCAGACAGAATTTTATTCGAAAAATATTTAACACCTTCGCCGTGTACTCGGATACTCAATAATTTATAAGGCGTTGAGCGATAAAAATCATAATTCGCCGCTGGTTCGAGTATTTGCGGTTCTTATCAATTATTTACGCGTTTTACTTTACGGGCGATTCAAATGTGGGATTAGTTATGCTGTATAAATTTAAGCAAACATAAGAAAAAAGAATCACTCGTAATGGTCTGGTTCCGATTGGTGGAACCAGATTAGTGACAGGCATTTTACTAAACAATGGCGTTTCCGTGATACAAAGACCAATGATATCCCCCCATAGTATCATGGTTGCTGTATTTCATCGTTTTTTTCATAGATGGTTCTGGTAATAGGGAGAACAATTATATTTTGACCTACTGAACTACGAACGGAATCGTTCGAACCGAGTCTACCCCTCAGAGGCATTTCTTCTTGGCAGCAAATGATAGTCACGGCTGTTTCCGTCACGGATATCGACGATTTCGACGGATGACGAGATTAGTGGCTAGTTCGTTTCCTCTATTTTTCCTTTTTCCCTTATTTCTTTTTTTTTCGTGAACGACGTTTATTGGAGCGACGCGGCGTTAAAACTCGTTCGCACGCTCCGATTGCTTCTCGTTTCATCGAGTACGGAATGTCGAGGCACGATTGCATCCGGGCACGAATCTCGGACTAAATTGGGCGACTTCGAAAATCAGATAACGATTTTTCCTGTTCGATGTTTGGAGAGAAATGGGTTCTGAACGATTTTATGGTAAAAAGATTGATGAAACGTGGATTTATACGATATGGCAGAGCCTTTACACCTTTACGCGAATCTCGATCGTAGCATCGAGTTTATAAACGGGAAGGAATGATCACTGGAAGTTGGAATTAAGATCCACGCTTGCCGAGAATAATTAAAACTTTCCAGTAAATTATTCGAGCATAAAAATTGTATTAAATAATAATACAACAACGAAATAGTCGAATTTTTCTCGGCGATAACGTTATGATTAATTAAATTTTACGTTTAATATTTAAATTAAGAAAAAACTTGAAATACACGAAAATATGCAAACCTTGTTTTCATGCTGAGCCAATTCAAATTTTAATGTGTAATATAATAGAACTTCGTACTATATGAATAAAATTAACAATTATACACAGCTGGATATATTTCAGAGATATTATTAGCGATGAAAATGGCTTTTATCGATGTGGACAGATAATACATGATTAAGAGTTAGATCAATAGATTAGATCTCGCTAGAAGTTAATTGATATATCGCAATTCCAAATGGGCAAAGATTACATTTAGCGCCATGTCATTTATTTTGCTTTTCAGAAATACGTAAGACAAAGGAGCATTGTGTAGCGAGAATTCAGGTTAATAAATTATAACCGGTTAAAAGCGAGTAGATACGACCAATTTACTGGTGCTACATTGCTTTGAATTAATTCCTCGTTACAGTGAACAGATAAAAGACCATTTTGCAACACGTTTATCATGTTAAAGAGAGACATGAAAATAGAGGTACGACTAAACTTGAGAAAGCACAGATTAATAAATTAGATACGATTAGAATCAAGTAGATACAATTTACTACAAATACATTGCTTGAGATTAAATACTCATTACACAGCGAGTAAAAGACAAATTTGTAACAGTGTTAGAGAAAGTTCAGAAGGTAGATATTCGAAGCAACATCGAAATGAACCAGATCGATAAATCAGATCCGGCTAAAAGCAGGTAGATAACGTGTTTCTAATCCCCTTGCTATACCGTGTAGATAGAAGACAAATTTTCAGCGCATTCATCCCATTAGTGATTACGAAGATGGAGATCCGAGGTAAACTTAAACGTGATCGAATTAATTAATTAGATTTAACTAGAAACGGTCAAACAACTTGCTTCTAATTATTTTCCCGTTACGTCAACTAGATTAAAGACAAATTTCCAACGCGTTCGCAGCTAGGATGGATATTCGTGGCCGAGTCGGTGGAAGTCGGGACGCTGAGGAGATATCTGGCGTTGATTTGGCAGCAAAAACTGAACCGTGATGCAGATACGAGACTGGCTGGTCCAGCCTACCGCTTTGGGCCCACCCACGCCGTACCTGGCGTCAAAAAAGCCCTCGGGGTTCCGACAAAACTGGCCCTCTGGCTGGCAGACTCAACCCGACTGGTGGCGCCCTTCACGATGCCATACTTGGTGAAACCGGAGGAACCAAAGTATAGAGAGGTTCTACAGTGAGTTTCTCTCTAGATGAATCATCGTTGGTAAGATCTCTCTACAGTTCTAGTGACTCATAAGAAACGACAATATTCTCCTCGCTAAAAAGCATACTTGCCACGTGAGCTATACGAAATTTAGATTATAATTGAAAACAGTATGAAATCAGATACGATGATAGTCGAGATCTTTTCTAAAGTATGCTTCTTATCGAGAATTCGCTATAGACGCCCCGTTTGCCCGCCATTTCTGTGCAAGAATCGAGCTTCGCCTCCGTTTGAAAAGCCGTTCGCGCCGGAAAACCAGTTTCTAACGGAATAACGTTCTGCGGCGAACGTTTTTTTTTCCGCGTTTCACCGACAATGCAAATCCCATTCGAACGTTGTTAATACTCAGGATTTTTCGCGAGCGCCCTTGTCTTTGCACTCAAATACCAGTATTGTCTTCTTACGGGGCACGGGTTACCCGTCCCAATTGCGTCATCGCGTCACACGCCAGCGATTTCCTTCCTCCGTGTCGACTACCTCGGAGGCGTTCTTTTTTCCGTGTCAGTGCCACCGTTACAGCTTCTCCCTTTCCGTGCTGAAAAAGACGTCTATTCTCGGTCGTTTTCGCATGGTCACGACGTTGACGGGACCGGTGCACGAACTTTTCCAAGCTAAAATGCCGACGTCGATGCTCTTTCGCGAAAATCCTAGCTCGACGACGAAAATCGTCGAGATAACAATCGTAAGTTTTATCCCGATCGACGCGATCCAGTCTAAAATTGACCCCGTGAAAACGTAGATTCAAACCCCTCTATAACCCAATAACACGTTGCATGATTTATCTAATTTTCAAAGCAATACATCGATACACTCAGCAAGACAGCAAGCAAACATTGGCGAGCGAGTTCAAACGATACACGTAAGTACACACCGCTTCAAACACTGGCATAGACTGTCTGATGGCGCGAATTTCTGCTCGGCGAAGCATCACGACGACAACAGCTGGTGCATTGTTGTAAACAGCGTCGCGTGTCCGTGAATTCCGTCGCAAATTCGACAAATTGATTAATTGCTCGTTACCGTGACGATGGATCGGCAAGATTCATCGCGCGCGAATCGAACGTCGAGTCGACGGGCGAGCCTTTCGAACGTCGAATGGCAGCGTTCGCCGGATGCACAGACCAAACCTACGGTGCATCTGCGGTGCATTAATTAATAACGCGTAGCCGAATTAATGATTGATCGGGCGTAAGCGGCGATCAATAATTAATCTCGCGTACGGCCGAGCGTGTTGGTATTCAATGTTCGAGGTTGCACGCGAGTGCTGTAATAATCGCGTGGAACTAAAGTCCC